GGCGGACGTGTGGGGCATTCGCGGCTAAGGTTGGCCTGGGCTGCCCACAAGTTGTAGCACGCGCGGTCGCCTCTTGTCATTCCATTATCGGCCATGGCTGTAGGAGTCTTCGGGAGAGTCGTTCGGTGGATCACGTTCTACGATGAGGTAAAGGAGAGAAATAGCAAGAAAGGAAGTGGAAAGACAAAGACAAAGAAGCAATCAAGCTGGGGGAGACCGCGTTTGGCTTCACAGTTGAGTTCTAATATAACCGTGCTATGGTTTTCCCAACCTGCTCTGAAACACCTTTTGTATTAACAGTGCAAAGACAGAAAACAACAATTATTTCATTCTTATTAATTACCCTAAACCCCGTGCTCCGCGAGGATCGAGAGATGAGAACCGTTCATTCCCTTATTTTAATCATTTCTCCCCATTCTCCCTTCCTCCCCCTTTCCTTCCATGAGAGTCGCTCACCCCTCCTCCGGCTCCCTTACGGGGGGCAAGTAAGGGAGTCACACTCTCTCACTAAGGAGGGTAAACGCGTTGCACTTAAAAATCAGATTGTTTCCGAACTGAACGACCCATTGCCGAACTTGCCAGAAGTTTCCTGAGGTGCACTACTTACTTCACAGGACATTCGCGGCTGAGGTGACCAGTCTGCCCACAGTTGTAGCATGCACGGTCGCCACCAGCACCACCCGCAGGTGCGTTGGGGCAGTCACGCGCAAGGTGACCTTCCTGCTGGCAGTGATAGCATGCCCCACGCACCGCACCACGGAAGCCACCAGCCGAGCGAGTAGGGCAGTCGCGGCTGATATGACCTGGCTGACCACAGTTGTAGCACGCACGGTCGCCACCAGCACCACCTGGCAGCCGTGTGGGGCATTCGCGGCTAAGGTGGCCAGTCTGACCACAGTTGTAGCACGCACGGTCGCCACCAGCACCACCTGGCGGACGTGTGGGGCATTCGCGGCTAAGGTGGCCTGGCTGCCCACAGTTGTAGCACGCGCGGTCGCCTCTTGTCATTCCATTATCGGCCATGGCTGTAGGAGTCTTCGGGAGAGTCGTTCGGTGGATCACGTTCTACGATGAGGT